CTACTTTACAGCCCAAACAGTAAATTTCCAATCCATGTGTTGCGAATTCCCAGCCCACTGAACTGTAAAATTACTAATATTTTTTACAGTGTAGCATCGTGTCGGGCGTGGAGCCGGCTGGGCGCGCAGAGCTGGGCCCCTGCTTGTCCTGGGCCTAGGCCTGGCCATTAAGCCATACCACCACCACCGAGAATGACTCCGAATAACGCAGTGCGACCGAAGCATGAGAATCCACAGTTTGAAAGATTGAGCATATTTTTCCGCGTCACGTGCTCGGAATTTCCCACACCACGGATGGGTCCGCTATTTTCGGGGTGCGCCTTCAAATTCCTCTTCTTACTGCGCCGTAGGGATGAGCAGGAAATAAAAGCGAGCAGAGCGAAGAATGCGTGTTTTTATTTCGCGTCCGCCAAATCGGCCGTGGTATTCAAGCTGTGCAAATTGTGTTGTTTATTTTGTTGGTTTTTCTTCGCTTTTATAACTTGACAGTATTTCAACAGCTTCAGCTTTAGACTTCAATTCGAATCAAGTCGATTCGGCTCGGATTTTTTTTTGGGGGGGATGTTAATTTGATTAGATTCCGAGGAAAGTTCTGAAATTCGACTCACTAAATCTCAAAGAACTCGTGCACAGTTCTACAAAGATATCCCCGCGGGGATAGAGCCAACTGCGCGAACAGGACGAAGGGAAGCGGAGAGTTGCGCGAATTTTACTTTTCTATACACTTTATGATGGCGCGATGAAGGGTGAGGGTGGCGGGGGGGGGGGCAGTCCGCTCGCGCACGCAGCGCCGCACTAAATTTAAACGCGCGCGAGAAGGTCCGCACCGCGTCTCGTTTTCCTCTCCACACGCGGACGCCACGCCGCCGCGGCACTTGGGGTGCAAGAGCGAGAGAGACGGCGGCATACGGCCATCGTCTCCGGGTGTTACAACCCCTGCAAGTCCATGTCTCACACCTGCGGCTAGTGCCTCTGGCCGGGCTAGAGAGAAATCAGCCGGGCCAGTAGTAAATCTACTCCGTCATTGGGCCAGCGTTACGCTTCGCCAGAGTTTCGCGCGCGTTCACTTTGTTCCGGCCGCCTCGACGCTGCTCTGCTCGCTGCTGCTCCCTCCAGCCGATTTCTCGGGCGGCCGCCCCATCGTTAGCGTAAGCGGAGATGAGGGGAGCGCGAGCGATGAACGATTGGTTTCCGATCCCGGCGGAGCGAATGGCGAAATGGATGGATCCAGCCGCGCGCGCTCCGCCAGCTCCGCTCGAGACGCGGGCAACAGGTGTGGAGGAGGGCGGCGGGGCCCGGGGGCGGCCCCCCTGAGAGGGCGTGGCCACGGCCGAGAGCAAATGAGGCGTTTTAGACCAGATTCCGAATACGACCTTGGAGGTCGTTTGCTAAAAGTCCGAGGAGCCTCCCATTCAATTGGTGGAGTCATCACGAGGCTGCTGCTGATGATGAGAGACCCGCGGGATGCGGGATGCCATTTGCCATACCATCATCGCGCTCCTCCTCGCTGTCCGTGACGCCCTCGGCGACGTCCCTCCAGTCGTCGTCGAGCTCTTCCTCCTGCAGGGGCGCGTACCTGCCCCCGCCGCAGCCCTCGGCGTCGGCGACCTCGTGAGCCTCGCGCGAAGTAACCCAGTAGGTGCGCGTCGCGTTGCGCCCCGGGGGCATCCTCGCGCGGGTGGTCCGACGACCAGGTCCAGCTCGTCCAGACTGCGCGGCTCGGGCCGTCCGTCGGCGGGGCACTTGACCGCACTATGACGGGCAGGGACAGGCTCAGCCCGCAGCGCGGGCGCGGGGGCGGCGAGGCGCGCCGGACCCGCGCAATTGGGGGAAAGCGGCGGGAGGGAAGTGCCACTCCACTCTCCGGTTCGGCGAGACACACCGTCACACCGCGGTGGGCAGGAGAAAAACGGAAGGGAACGGCTCCCGCCTGCCGTCCCGGTCGCGACGGGTCGGTCGGGGCGAATCGACAGGTCAAGCAAAACCGGCAGCGCGAACACTCGCTCCGGCGGCCTCGGCGCCCTTAGCACGCGGGGGGTCTGTGCCGTGGGGCTGCGGACGCGACCGACTCGAGACTGATACCTGCCGGCGGTGCTGCCGGCCTCGCGGTGCGGGGGAGTTGGCCCTGAGGAGGCCCTGCGCGGGGGGGAGGACCTATCTCAAGCCGCTGTGGGGGCGGGTAGGAACGCCAGCATGGTCCGGCTCCGAGTTAACTGCCGGGTACGCCGATGGCGCAAGTCGGACGTGTTCTAGCGATGTGTTAACGCGCTCAGTGCGCGAGCGCATCGCGAGGGAGTGAGGGGTTGGAACACCTACGAATTGTGGTCACACCCGGGCTCGTCTGCCATCCTAATAGGGAGCTATTGCCACTATTGTAAAGGATGAGCACCAACCACCACACACGACAGATATACAGGAAATAAAAGTTTTGTTTCATGACACTAATTCACATCACTAACTGTTAGACAAATACTAAAGTTGGGCAATGTGGAAAGTCCATGTGTAAGCGAAATAATTCAAGGGACTGTACAAAACACCTGCTCATACTAATGAGCAGATAAGTCACAGGTACTGGTAAAAACACTAAAATGCCATTGCAAATAACATAGAGTAACATACTGTTGATTCAATCGGGTTGAAACACAGGAAATGAAAACAAATAATTATGAATGTGTAGGACACTATCAAGCCATACAATAATGGAAAGTATTATTTTAAGTACACTAAGTTAAGGATATTCACTTGTTTCATTTACATTTCTGATCAACATTCTTAAATTTGTTTTTTTTTTCTTTTTAAATGTTCAATTGCAAAATATTACAAAAAATTGTGTCTTTCCAAGTAAACTTGAGATGAAATCAGAGTAGTGAAAACAATTTCTACTTTGTAAAGGAAACAGTTGCAATGCATGCTCATAATAATAATTATTCCAATTGTTACATTTGCTATGTAAATAAACAATGAAGTCTGCTACAAGCTGACAGACTGTCTGGTGAAAATTATAACCTAGACGACTAGTAACTTGGCAAGCAATATGTTTCAGTTAAAATCATGGGTTTGGCCGACTTGCACTACAAATGAAACTCAATAAAGTTTGTAAGGATATTGGGGCATTTTAACGGCCAAATTCAACCATTTTCATTCAAATTAAGCGAATTTTCAAGTGAACTAAGCAGCAATAAGCTGTGTTTCTTGAGCAAAGATGACAGTTTTGGAAGACTTACCTGATACTTGTCTGTCATGTTTGGGCGTTCCAGACATGACGGGCAGCGCTCGGCCTTCGAAATTTTACTCAACATAACCAGTCATAACAAATCGTCAACCGTTAAAACGAAAAACCCGTAAATTGTCAACCATTTTTCTACCTATTTTGCATTTTTCCACACTCGACGCCTTCTTGAACTGTCTGCTCCCAGAACACGAACGTCAAAGCGTTATACCAACTCTAGAATAAATGTACTGTGAGAACTCTTTTTATTCCGCTAATGGAAATAAGTTCTAATACTTTTGAATGCACAAGAATTAACAATGTGTATGTTGTCTTTTCAGATTATTTTTGTCGACGAACTAGCTCGTTCAATTTAACTGTTCAAAGTGGCTTGTTGGCAGCACACACTGGCGCTCAACCGCCCGACAAACGTGCAGGGGGGTTAGGGCGTGAGGAGGGCAGTAACGGGTGATCACAGCTAAGCGGGGGATCTTGTTATTCGTATTTTCAAGTATTTTACGTTGGATGTCAACGTTATTTTGAAATCAACAACTGTGGAACTGACAGCTGACAGCCATGGAGTCCAATGCAGACGAAAATTCGCCACCGAGATCTGGTAAGAAAGAAATGGTTTCTTGTCGGTTTCATGGCGCGCAATACTATTCACTAAACACGTGTTTTGCCCTGTATCTTTTATTGGTGTTTTTATCCTCTGGTGATCGATTTAACGTACTATTTTGGCTCTTTTGAAAACAATTTCTTTGGCTCTTGGGTTTAAGAGGGGTCCTTGTTTTTCTTTTTTCCCTTGTAATTCTTTTTATTAACTGAAAATGTCTCGATATTGCAGATCTCGTAGCGAAGACAAGACGTCAATCAACCTTACTGGATTCTCCCAGCCGTGTTACCCGCAGTCAAGTTAGACGTCTCTCTAGTGCGCCTGTGGAGCCACCGATGTCTCCCAAGCCAGCTGTCAACAGGAGACGTTCTGCCAGGGTTTCTGAGAGTATCAGTGATGTAGCTTCCCAAGACGACGTTTCTTCCATCCAAGATGAAGCAGAAACTGGCAAGCCAATCCAACGTGCTCGCAGGTCTACCAGAAGGTCATTCGCTGATACTACTGAAACTGCTCTGTCGCAGAGGAGCACCCTTTCAAGTATTGAGGAGGATACTAAACCAGTGACTCGGCGTACTAGAGCCTCACTGAAACCGGTAGAGGAAACTGATTCAGAACTTGTCCTCCCACCAACTCGTCGAACTCGTCGAAGCTCAATCAGTAGTGTGACATCAGTTTCCACCATAGCTTCTAATGCTCAATCACCTCAAAGGCGAACTCGAGCTTCCCGTAGGAATTTGTCACCAGTTCCATCCCCGACTTTCTCTGAAGCTAGTGTAATTTCTGAATTACCGGAAGGGTCACCAAATATCAAGAAAACCAACTCTCCTGCAGCAAGTGATTTAAATACCTCATCTAAAAGCATAACACCATTGTCTTCAAATGTTTCTCCAGCAATGCCTTTGTCTGGGAAAACACCAAATTCTGCTGAGGTCAAACGATCTAGTTCTAAGGACAAAAGTCCCATGGTTAAGTTATCTGACATCTCTTTTACTACACCCAGACAGCTAAACCTAGATGATTCAGGTTCTGCAAGCAAGAAGAGAGCTTCCCTTACAAATGAGGAGATTGAGATAATTGATGTAAATGAGGAGTCTGATAATAGTTCAATTCAAAAATCCCGCCGATCTCAAGGTAGGCTTTCTTTGACTTCAAGGAAATCCACACCTTCAAAACCTGCCCAATTTATTGAGTCACCTCTGCAGAAGCCTTCAGATGAAATAATGACTGTTGATTTAGATTCACAATCTCAGTCTGTGGATGGCAAGCCACTCCGTGTCAGTGTTGGCTCTCAAAATGCCAACACTGAAAGGCCACGCAGGAACTCTGGTAGGCTGTCATTGTCTAAGTTTGTGGAAACGCCCCTAAGTAACTCAGATGCAAATGAAAGTGAAAAACTGAATGAATCTTCTCCCGAAGATGTTGACTCCTCTACTAATGTAAGTTCAAGAAAATTAGAGCTTGACAAGTCTCTGAATTCCAGTAAAAGACTATCACTGTCAAAGTTTGTTGAAAATGCACTTGAAGAGACTGGTAAGAAAGGACTGGTTGAAAGTGAGACAACCTCTGCAGAAATTAATGAGATACTTTCTGAGGACAATGTTAACAGTTTAGAAGACCACCTGAACAAGTCAAAGACTGAATTGGAAAAATCACGACGAAGTTCTACTGGAAATAAGTTTATTGAGACCCCTTTTAAAAACTCTCCAACCAAGCAAACTGAAGATGTTGATCAGGGGAAGTCTGGGAGACAATCTATTTCAAGAGCTTCTCTATCTTCAGTAAAGTCCCCAGAACTGGAAAAATCTCAAAGAAAATCTGCTAATAGGTTTTCACTGGCTTCTAACATTACTAGTGACACCAACCCTGAAGATGATCATGAGACTCAAGCTGACCACTCAAGTAGGAAATCTACTGGTAGATTGTCTTTATCTTCAATCAAGTCTCCAGAGTCCCAAAGGAATTCAATGGGCCGGCTCTCTCTTAACTCTCAAAAATCATTAATTATTGACCTTGATCGTGATAATGATGAGATTCAACCTGAAAAATCAAGCAGGAAATCCAGTGGAAGAGATTCTGTATCACCTGTAAAGTCCCCAGAACTAGGAAATTCTAAGAGATTGTCTGTTGGACGGTTTTCTCTTACATCTTTGAAGAACACAGATCCTGATAGTGCAGATGATGTTCAACTTGAAAAATCCAGTAGGAAATCTATTGGAAGAGATTCTTTATCTCCATCCAAGTCACCAGAACTTGAAAAGTCCAGCAGAAAATCAGTTGGAAGGGATTCTACATCACCAGTGAAGTCTCCAGAAGTGGAAAAATCTCAGAGGATGTCTGTTGGGGGTCTATCACTCTTGTCTAATAAGTCGGTGAGTAACATTGATCCTGACAATGCAGACAATAAGTCTGACAAATTAAGCAGAAAATCAATTGGAAGGGATTCAGTATCACCAGTCAAGTCCCCAGAACTGGAAAAGTCTCAAAGAAAGTCTATTGGTTCTGAAAAGTCATCTAATATCATTAATCCTGATACTGAAAATGAGGACCAAGGTGAAAAGTCAAGTAGGAAGTCAACTGGTAGTACCTCTGCATCTCCCTTAAAATCTCCAGAGCTGGATAAATCTCAAAGAAGTTCTCTTGGAAGATTATCATTGACTTCAAACAAATCATCGCCTATCAGGCTGGATAATAGCCCACATCTAACTCCTAGAGATGTAGCTAATTTGAGAAGTTATTTTGCATCCTCTACTCCTACTGCCTGTCTAAAAGAACAATCACCAGTGAAAGAAGTAAGTTTGCTCGAAAAATCCAAGGTGTCAAACCAGTCCCTGAGCAGATCATCTGGAAGACTTTCTTTGACACCAAGCAAATCTGTTCCTCCAACCAAATCTAACGTGATGTCATCCGATCGATTTTCTGATCAGGTAGATGATGATGGTGATGATGATTCCGAGGATGTTGATTCAGAGGATGTCGAAAGTCATGAAAGTGACTCCAATCCCAGAAGTATTGGCACTTCAGCCTCAACATCACATAGAGCTTCTACAGGAAACACTCTTTCCGAGCAAACCTTTGAGTCAGAAGGCATGGGAAAATCCAGAGTATCTACAGGATCCCTTCCACACAAAAGTCCTTTGAAGTCAGGTGTGTTGAATAGTGAAGTGGAAGAGTCATTATCAATTTCTCACAGCAACAATATTTCAAAAGGAAGTTCACATGCTGATAACTCATCATCATTTAATGACAAAACAAAAATTGGAATGTCTGAGGATCTGAATGTCTCTCCCATCAAACAAGATCAAGCGAAACTGAAAAACTTAACTTTGACTCCCTCATCTTCAGAAAATTCATTTAATAAGTCACACTGTTCTCCAAATCATGCATTTGAGAAATCGACAGTTTTTAATGAGCAAGATGTGTCATTTGGTTCTCATACTGGAACAAATGTGGAAAGTGAGCATTCATTGTCAACAAGTCGCCCATCTTCTCAAATGAATGTGTCACATCACATTGAGAACTTGACAAATGACACTTCTATCAAAAGTTTAGAGAGAAAATCCCCTTTCAAAAAATCCACTGAGGTCTTGGCTCCAAGTGATACTGAAGATAACATTGATAAGCCATCCAAATTTAAGGCTTCTATTTCAAGTAAAGTCTACAAAGATGCTGCATTTTTGCTTAGTGGAGGAAGTGTCTCAGATTTTGATGACCAAGAAGACGATGATGCTGACAAGTGGCAGCAATTCTCTTCCCCTGCCACTAAATCCAAAAGGGAAAAACGGCTTGAAAAGAAAGCCAAGAAGAAAATTGAGAAGGAAGAAAGAAGGAAGGCAAAGCTGGAACGCATGAAGCAAGTAGAGGCCAATGAGGATGATTCAGATGGGTCAGATGTGATAGAAGGAGAATCTAATCTTAAATCTGTCACCCAAACTTTGTCGCCAGGATTGAAAGTTACAACTTCCAATTGTCAAGCATCTGATGATGAAGTTATCGAAGTCATTCATAGTGACAAAACAAGTAGGAAACGAAAAGTTGGATCCACAGATTTTAATACCAGTAAAATCACAGACCAAAACTTTGAAGTTCTGGGTGCTTCAAGTGAGTTGGTTAATAGTGTCAATAAACGAAAGAGTCTGCCTGATTCTGATAATAGCATCTCAAATAAGAAAATGAGTGTGAATCTTCTTCAGAGTGATGTGCCTACCTCAATGATTTCTACCAATGACAATATTGCAACTCTCCTTGACGATTTTGTTGATATCGCCTCTGAAGAATCTGCGGATTGTGTTGAGCTAGTTCGCTCTGATCCTGCTGAGACATTAAAGAAAAAAAAGAAAAAGAAGTTAGTTCAAGTTAATACTAATCATGACATAGCATCAGGTGAACAAAAGATAAAGAAGACAAAGAAGAATAAACTTAAACAGCTTGCCACCAATGTGGAAAATGAATCAGTGGAATCTGACAAACCATTAAAAAGGAAGAGGAAAAACAAGGATCAAAGCAACATAGAAAATGAATCAGAGGCTCAAATGCATGAAATTAAAAAGGCAAAGAAAAAAGCCAGAGCAGCTACAGTAGAAGAGGGGTCTGAACAACCTTTGAAAAAGAAGAAAAAAGTTACAGAAAAAGCTGAACCTACAGATGCCATGAAACTAAAGAAGAAAAAGAAAAATGACAAAGAACAAGCAAGCACTGAAGCTGAGTCTGAAGACACTGTAAAACTAGTTAAGAAGAAGAAGAAAAAGGCTAAGCTGTCAGTCATGGAGAATCAGGTCCATGCATTGGAAGAACTTCATGAAATCAGGGGGAAAAAAACAAAGAAAAATATTGCTGTTGACAAAAACACTGAAGATAACTCGGGAGTTGCTAAACCTCAAAAGAAATTAAAGAAGAAATCACATGGATCCTTTGACCCAAGTCCATTAGATGTCAATGATGGGACATCTGCCAAAATACTCAAAAAGAAGAAAAAAAATAATGCAGCTTTGGTTGAGCCTACAAATGGTAATGGTTCTGATTCTGATGATGCACCCACCTCTGTCTCATTTGCTGCTGGAAAAGAATCTGCACTTGCAGAATTATCTGCGGCTGCTGAAAGTATTAAAAAACAAAAGGAATTGAAAAAGCAGAAACTCAAAATCAAGCAGGAAAGGATGAGAGAGGAAAAGCTTGCTAAGGTATTATTTTATTTTTACCTTTTTATTTAAAGTGTTAAATTTTCTCATAACATTCTAATCTAATCTATTCTTACAGCTGGAAAAGCTAAAAAAGAAGCAGAAACGGAAAGCCAAACACCTTGAGGGTCGAGAAGTAAATTCCTCAACAGGCAAGTTTAACTGAAGTCTCAGCGATTGAATACATTTCATGGAGACTTAAAATCTAATATTCTGATCTGTTTTTTTGAACTTCAGGCATATCAGTGGATGGATCATCTTACAAAATTTATTTTGATGGGGAGAATAATGCTAGCACATCTGTAAGTACATGCATAACCATTCCTTTAATTTACAGCATGGAGAAAGGGTAGTTTTAAGGTTGATTTGTAATATAAAATGTTACCTTTCAGAAGTTGCCCAAGCGCTTGCCGGAAGAGTTCTTAGAATCTCTCAGTGAACAGCCCCCTACCAAACTTGTGAGACGCGCTGATGGTTCAAAGGAGAGAGTGGCTGCTGCAGCAGTGTCAAAAGAAGAACAAGAGTATCTTGAAAGGAAGAAAGCTAAAAAATTGGGTATGCCTAAGATTCTGAAATGCATTTCAAATAGTAGCGTATTCATTTCCATGGTACTAATAATTTTCTTGTTTCCATTTAGCCCGTAAGATGGAAAAGCAGAGAATGCTTCAGGCAGATTATGTACCTTTAGAAGGTGTCCTTGGATCAACTAGATTTGGGGTTGTCCCTTTGAGGAACATCATGCTAGCCAAGAAATTAGAAAAGAACAAGCTTGCTGAAGAGGCCGCGAATTTCCGTCAACAGAGTTTGTTTGGAAATCGAATTCGACGAACACCGAGTGAGTATTTTGACTGTCAGGAGGACCCTTTGACATATTAATGTACTATATAGTAATTTATTTTTTTGTTTACTTTAATTACAGTATCATCCGTACTTTCCCACAAAGAGAAACTAAAAGCTTCAGGCAAAGATCAGCTTGTAAAATCCAAGTAATTTTAATGCCTATCATGATATTGCGAGCTGTGATTAACTGTAGTGCCATTTCACCATAGAGGAAATTAGTCCTCTACTGTTGTTCTGCAGTTTTTTCCCCCCTATTGTACTTTGAATGGTTTATCATTCTATTGTGGTTTTAATTATCAACAACTTTGTGGACTTTCCCAAACCCCTATTTTAATTAAATGTTGAATTCTTTGACTTAGTTTTTAAAGGGCGGTATTAAACGTTATTTTTCTACTGGCATGTTTGACATAACTTATAAGGACTGGATTGTAATTTAGAGTAGTGTTATTTAATTAAGTGTTTCTAAACAATAAACCTTTGAAAGCAATTTATTTTGGTTTTGTTGTCAGTGAATGTGTAAAACCAATCATAACCAACATAGCTTTGGAATGTTTTATTGACCTAAAATATACGTACACTATACAATCTTTAAAAATAATTTTGTTGGAAAGTAAAATTTAGCTCTGCTCCTCGCATAGAGATCAATATGATATTTCGTTCTCGAAGCTGAGCCCAATAATCTCAGTCACATTCATGTCACTTTGATTGAACTCGCATCGGACTGAAGGAGCGCGTCATTCGCAAGAGGCTGAGGTCGAGGTCAGTTGTGGCCAGGCCCGGCCCGGCCCCTCAGGACGCCGCCGTCTCCCTCAGCCTGCTGGCGAGGTGGTTGTGCGGCGCGTAGAACGAGCGTTTCCTCCGCCGGCTGGGATCCACGAACAGGTCGGCGCGCATGGGGCACGTGGTGGGCACGGGCGTGCAGCCCGCCGCCAGGGCCAGCCTCTCGATGGGGGAGATGAGGGAGTCGTTGTCGGGCTGCACCAGGAAGCCCACGGCGTGCCGGCCGCGCGCGCGCACCTTGGGCTGCTCCGGCACGATCACGCGCTGCAGCTGCACGACCAGGAAGGAGAGAGTCAGTCAACAAGCTGTGGCCCGCCCAAACACAAAGGCATCACTTTGGAGAGGTTTATTAAAAAA